AAGTACCAACAATACTTAGAGATTAAAGCAAGGGCCTTTCCTTTTCCTTTCCCTTCCAAAAGGCAAGTTCCTGGGCTCCTGGTAAAGCTACAGAAAGCCTCAGACTATTAACTTGAGAAGAAAACACACGTATTCAAGAGGCACCATGGGTAATACAGCATTGTTTTGGGGTTTACAGCAGCAAAATGCTTTTCTCCTACTTTCAGTGTTGCACCTTTATTTAACTTAACATTACTTTTATTTATCAAACATTTTCTCATGTCATTAATGGTTACTGATATTGGTCTTGCTGCTGGGGCTTGTTTTGATTTATATACTGATGCTAACACACCTAATTTAAAAACTAAACCAGGGTAATAGCGCTGAGGAGAGTTAAGAAAACTTAAATTAAAAAAAGAAAAAAAATTAAATTAAAACTTAAACCCTCACCGCTTGACACTCCTGCCATACAGGCAGCCACCAGATCTACCCTGGCTTCCCAGAGCAGCCCCCGGACAATTCCCTTGGCAAGGCCCCATGCAAACCAGTGCCTGGGCAGAGGCCACCTCCACCGCCACCTTTCCCAGGCACAAATCTCAGCAGTGTTCGAGGGAACCCCCTGCTCTGCTCCCTCCACGGTGCCCCAGGGCCCAGCCAGCCTCACTCCACATGGGGTGGCTGCTTTTGGAGATGTTACAAACTCTGATGGTTCAAATGGGCAAGAGCCCTGGTGAAAAGGTCCTACCACCAATCTGATTTCCCCTACTAATGACAATGCTAGGAAGAAATTAACCGGAACAAATATCTACCTGAAGAAGCACATCTCTGCCCACTACTCAGACCTTGTCACCTGAACAGTAACCTGCTGCTGCTTTTTGTAAGCCTCTTCTAGTGGCTCCCATACCTCCCCCAGGAATTGCAAAATCAAGACACACAGAAGTCATTTCTTAACCTGCAGAGCCAGCTTAGAAAAGTAGCAACTGAAACAAGTAAATCTCTTTTTTCAAGAGCAGGCAATATTCTCATTTTGCCCCTTCCCCCCCCCCCCCGCCTAAAATTTCCCTTTTGCTTTAAGAAAACTTTCTTCATAAATCAGGAAAGCAGAGTAGTCCAGGGGAAAATAACAAAATAACATATAGGAGCACAAAAGACATCTTTGTAATTGTAATAAAAGTGTGCCTGTCTGAATACAGGCTAAGAACAGGATTCAGAATAATCAAACATATAAATGCAAAAGGAACTCCCATTTTTACAGACTGCACTACAGACATATAAAACACCGTTTCTGACACCTTTACTTTGAAACCACTCCTCTGCCATTCCATAAATATGCTGATTTAGCCTTCAGCTTCCCTTCAAAGCTGCTCTACTCTATTTAGCGTGATGCTATTAGGTCAAACATTGAGTTTTTGGGGAAAAAAAAAAATCAGCAGCACAAAGAACACGGCAAGATTCTGGGGCTCTCATTCTGAAAATTTTTATGAGTTCCCCTCATAAGAAAAAATAATGCTTTTGTTGTTTCCAGGCTTATAAATGTACTCTGTGAGTCAGGCTATGACCTTTCAGGATGATGCAAGATCAGCAGTAATAAATCAAGCTGTGACTTTGCTGACATGTCTGTAACTTTAGTGATTAATCCAACAAATAAACAATTTCTGCCTGGAAATACAGGAAAGAGTGTGGGATTCTCCTCCTGCTCTGTCCAGTTATAGCTGAACTCTGGAGGCAGTTTTGGTCCTACCAATTCTCACAGGACATTTGAAAAATGCCTGGGCAAAGGCTGAGGATTAAAGTCAACAGTAGATCCACCCATAATACATCATTAAAGAAAGAGAAGCTAATGGAGGCAAGAAAAAATATTCTTTTATTTATATGAATAGTTTGTTCCTTTGAACTGTTGCCCCATGCCAGACTCTCCACATTCTGTCCTTCGGCACACTCCCAGAGCAGACCACGTACATTTTCCCCTGAGAGAAGTGTTAGTTTTATCAGCACAGGTAAATCTAGCTCTGACATCAATCCACTGTTTTCCTGTCATTTTATCTTCTACCTGATCCCGCCCTTCCCATCCATAAAAAGTTCAGCACTCGGGAGGAGCACAAGACCCTCTTCACATCACACAACTCTTCTGGCTGGTATAGATATCCCAGAGTCGTTCAGGTTGGAAAAGCCCTCTAAGATCACCTAGTCCAACCCGTAACCTGGTACTGAAGTCCACCACCAAACCACGCTACCAAGTTCTACATCTCCACATTTCTTGAAGACCACGGGGCTGGTGACTCAGCCACTTCCCTGGGCAGCCTGTTCCAGTGCCGCACAACCCTTCCGTAAAGCAATTTCTCCTGATATCCAATTGTATTTTAGAACGAAACAAAATCAAACCAGGATGATTTTGGTCACAGCTGGGTACCAACCCATGAGTTAGTTATCTACAGCAATACCTACAACAACCTCCCAGTCACTATGAAAGTGAAATCTGCCCAAGGCTCCAAAATCTGCCACTGTGCAGAGTCCTTTGAACTGACTTAAACGATAAGAGAAGAATTTCTTCCCGTGAGCTATTAATAGACTAGCACTCCATACTCAGAATGCTGATTTCCAGAGCTCAACAGAAAGAAAACTGTGAGTGCATCCAATTTGATTAGCTGCCCAGAATTTAACATTTAATGCTGGTATACAGAGGAAATAATACACCACAGCTGCCAAATATATCATCTTGCTTCTAGAGAATCAACGGGATTTGGACTTCAGGATTTCTTTACACTGCTCCATTGTGATTCAAAAATTGGTATTCTGCTCTGTGGTACTGAGGAAAGGATATAGACCACTGCTTTTGTAGTACTTGTACAAATCTCAGTTGATTTGTGGGGCGTTTGTCCTGCACAGATACCAAAGTATAACGAAGAGAACAATATCGAAGTGTTTCAGCGACTAGAAAGCTTTCTTGCCATGCAGTTATTTTGGTTTTAACTTACATGAATAATTGTAAGGTGGAAAGGTAGTAACACTGATAGCCCACCACAACCACGTTATTCACTCTAGAACTTACTGAAATCACTGCATGAGAAAATATTTCACTGGGATCTTTCAGAAGCAAAATTAAAGTTAAAATCAGGTTATTATAAATAATTACATTTGGAATTAATTCTGTTCTTGAACCATTTAGCTTCACATTTGAAGTCTTTCTACACAGCCACAAAACAGATGTGTCCTTTTCAAAACTAAAGAAAACAGATTCTTGGGACTTGAAGGAATACCAAAAACACCCCCCTACACTCTCCCCCTCCCCCAAGAAGAAAAAAACAACAGTGCCAGGAGACCAGCAACAACATTTTGAGAGTTGCAAAAACTATTGTCTACTCAATGAGTAGACAACGAGACTGATGAAAAGTAGAGATTCTCTCCTCAGGAAACATCCATTGCTTAGCTTTGCAAACCTGACATGGGAATTAGCTACACTATAACCTCAAACAAAAACATTTTAACAATTTCCACATATGATGGTGTTTACAGAGTGTAAGGAACATTAGTTAAGGTGCAGGATCAGATCATGAAGCTTCCAGGCATGAAGACCTTTTGTTTGTGGGTGAGAAGTCTACTTGAGCAAGCGTATCAGTCTAATTCCTCTATAATCACAAATTAAGAATGTTCTCTTCCCTGAGAGTGCTTGAAAGTTGGGTGACAGAAGCAGCACTGAATTTTTTCAACAGAATGAAAGGGCAGAACGTTGCCTGGCTAACCTGTACTCCCTGTAAATCTTTGAAACCTTATAGTTAGAGCAACTCACGTGGAAGCCCCAATATAGAAGAGAATTGATGCTAAGTGTCTAGAGACTTTCCCATAGACAGACCCTGACCAGAAAATGAACTGAAGCTCTTGGGAGGAATGTAAGCTACTCAAAGCCAATGAGAATACCTCTGACGGGAAAGCTCCTAAACTGGGTCATTCTTGATCCGTTGCTTCTAAAGCCTCAAACAGAAATATCTTTATAGCTGTCTTTCCTGGCTCTCCTCCAGGTTCCTCTTCTTCTGGCACTTGTGCTTTTCTTCTGCCGCTTCATATCTCCCAGCTAGAATGGAAATGGGAAGAAAAGGAAAAAATAACATGGCCAGACAAACGAATGACAGGAGCTTCATTACAATAGAGATTTGGGGCTGTGGGGAATGACTTCAAAGGATTTCAGCTTATTTGTTCTTCTTTCACAACTGAAGTTTTCTTTGCTCTTTTATGAAGTAAGTGATTGTATATGTAAGGCTAGATTTATTTTGTACTTCATTCATGAAAAGATTAACAGGGGAAAACAGCCAATGACAACACTGTGAAAATTTAGTAAAATGCAAACACATCACCACCACTACTATATAGTCCAACAAACTACAGGTGATGGCAACTTGTTTATACCTTTTATCCTGGGAATGGATTAAAAAGTTTTTTTTCTCCTCTGGAGTATCTTTACATTAAATGATCAGAACTAATTAAGAGATGTTTGTTAAGAAAGCCAATGAAAAAAAAAAAAGTCAAATTCTTACCCCAGTTCTCCATTTTAAGATCTATTCTTGCTTCTTAATTTTTCTGTTCCATTACCGAAGTCAATCCACACCTTCCTTTTGCAAATGAACCCAAACCTCTAAGTACAGAGGACAGAGACTTTAAAAGGGAGTGCAGACCTTGAAGAACAAAATTGATGTTATTTCTGACCACTCTCAGACTGAATTGCTAAATTATATTACCCTCCTCGCCAACTATGCTAAGAAACCAGGCATAATGTGGATAGGGTGCACTTGCTGTGAAACGGTTAAGCTTCTAGTCGTCACATTGATAAACACAAACCTCAAAAGCAGAAAGTCGTTTTTAAAAAGTGCATCCAGCTAACTTCTTCCTTTTCCTTATTTCTTTTACACAGAATAACAAAGCTTTTCTCCTCAATATTTCAGTTGATTTGTTATACAAAACCTGATGTTCACTCTGGTAAACATACTTTCCAGCACATATACACATAAAGAGTCAAACTGACACAGCAATCATTTAAAAGTTAACAACAGATTTATTTATTAATCCTTTACACACATAAAAATTTTAAAATACATGCTTAATGTATGATTGTCTTTACATTTGAAATCAGACTCCTTTCAGAACTCTGAAACCCACTTTAAGACATCATCGAAAGTCTGGCTTAGAGCATCCAAAATCAGGCATCCAAAAATTTAGACAAATGAATTTCACTAAATCCTTGACCACGGTGCTTAAATTAAAAGGCATTATTTGACTATGCTAGAGATGCGATATACCTGTATGTACATTTCTGCTCTTCTACTGCCTAGCTGACTCGATCAAGATTGGTCTTGATCGGTCTTGATCGGATTGGTTGAGTCTCTTTTGACCCAACAAAAGAGACTCTACCAATAAACAAGCTCAGACAATGGATGGGAGGCAAAGATGACGTGACTTACAGTGACTTCACTGGAGGTCTGTGGTACAGCCCGTGTCCTGTCTCAATCCTTCTTTCCATGTTTATGACAATTATGGAGAGGACAAAGTTTCTTTAAATAAAGAAGTGCTTTTAAAACTCACTTCATACTGTGAAAGCTGGAACATAACATTTTGGCTTCAAAAATTTATGAAGCCACAATCACGTACTATTATAGCAGCAGAATGATTTAAAAACAGTAATTTGGTCATATTCTGAAACGGCATACCACTAAAAGCCCTTATAGCCAAAAAGACAGCCTCCTCCTGATGCTCAAGTATATAATCTATACCACTGACTTTTAAATCACTTTCTTTTTCATGCACTCAGATCAACAGGTATGTTATTATTCACTGTTCCTAGCTGATTTTTAAGCATTGTGTACCTTGACATTATCCATAAGAATCTCTTAATGACATTTCCAAATACCAACAGCAGGAAGCTAAATTAAGTAATGGATACTGTTGGAAATGAAACCTTAATGTCTCCAGCAACAGAGAAACACAGTGCACACACGTTGATTTGCTCCCTCCTTCTCCCTTGCAAATCTGAGCAAGCAGCTACAAAAGGCCAGTCTTGGTTTGCAATGTTTCACTGCTGAACACTGCCGAATTCCTATTCAACCAAATACAGTTAGCAAGGAACTGAAATGCCTTACTACTGTGGTTTTTGAGAGCACTAGTCTCTCAAAAGCATATGATCCAGCTACGTCCCATACATTAGCTGCTGCCCAGCAGGGTTCATGGGGCAGAACATGCATGGCTCACTCAGTCCTAGTATTACAATAGATATAGTGTCACATATACGGTCTAGTTCAGCATGCAAGAGACATACAGCAGGAAACATTTGAATTAAAGTGGAGAAAAACTGTTTTTATGTTATGTCTGAGTGACCAAGTAATTGTAATGTTATTACATTTATACCATCCATCATCTCAAAGCATTCTGACTTAGTACCAATAATAATACATAACTACTGCTCTGATAGCCACTGGGTGGAACTTGAGTGGGAGTTTTTCAATACCAGCATGCACGACCCTGGGCAAGGGTCATTTAGAAAATGAAGGATCCAAAGGAAATTGAACAGTAGCTTCAGGAATAGAGGATGAAATAATAATTTAAAAAATAATAATAAAAAAAAACAACCACCAAGCCATCTATACTATTAAAAACAAAATCCAAAGAAGACATATATAACCTGTGGGTTTTTTTTTTTAGGACTTTGGTTTAGCATCTTATTTAAAAAATAACTTTAGTGATGCAGTTCTTAACAGTGCCAAAGTTTGAGATGGACTGAGATAATCAGAAGAAAGACCATAACCTACAGTAGCCACTAACACCACCTCCCTGAACACATGGGCTTTCTCTGCGTTTTCCTTTAAAGTGCAGACACAATGACATTGTCTACTCAGTGAGAACGGATACAACCGAAGCAGAGCCAAAATGACTCTGCTGTACTCCGCAGCCTCTGTTGTACTGGTGCCTATGAAGTCCCAAAGCTGTTACTATTTAAACGAAGGAACAGCGATCCTTTGTGCGTGACAATAATAAATAAATGCAACTCTTTTATAGCCTGTCCCATAACACCAGGAATAAATGACCTAGACAGACATCCAACTCCCTGCATTCCTCCAATGACAGCAATTCCTGACATGACTCCTCACGGTTAGCAGCCAGCTCCTGCAGTGACATCAGGGGAGCTGCGTCCGAGGAAGAAATGCAGCTGCTGAGGGTCCCCCCGGGCCCGCTGCAACCAGCGCTCCTGCCTGTCTGTGGACACTCTGCTCAGAAGCAAACCTTACTCCAGGTCCTCCTATTTTACTTACATATATTCATGATGATCTCATTGAAAAATATCAGTTACACAGACGTAATCACTGAAATCTACCAAGAATCTCCTGTGGTATAAATACAAGCTACTGAGAGCAGCAAGGGAGAGGCACTTAGAACTGCAGTATAAAACATTTCTTTTGTTTGCACTACTTCCAGAATACTAATGGAAAATCCCACTCTGGCCTTTTCCGTTTCCCCCTCTTCCTTTCTCAACGTATCAGCAGTGAATTAAGAATGCTTTATACAGACTCCTAACGCCTAATTACAGTGATTTCATTCACAAATACCTTGTGTAGAAATGCCAATCTTCTAAGTAAACTTCAGTATATTAAATTCAAAAGTATATTAAATTAACTTCAATATATTAAATTCAATGATTTAAAAGAGTAAAACACTCAGTGTAGTTAATTGTAATAGCAAGGCTGCCTTAGATAACTAAACCTCCTCATTTCACCCTTCCCCTCCCCCCAAACAAAACAAAACAAAACAAAAAACAATTATGCAAGTATTAAAAGAAAAAAACACAACAGTCCCTATTTAGGAAACAGGCAATTCAAACAAAAGTTGCCGGTGATGTCATTTCATTTATACATTGCCTGAGTCACAGGTTCCTGAGGAAGTGGTAACACCTACAGAATTACTGTATGAAAGTCAGACTTTTCAGCACAAAATGAAAACAGAGACATTTAAAGACAAAGCAAAACCCTCAAGCAAAATTATACCTACTTCATAGATTTCCTTTCCTCTTATCCAAATTTAAAAGAGATTTTACACTAAAAATTAATTTGCTTGTCCATCCACACCTTTCCCCTACCAGCAAGGGGCAGAATGGGGCTGGGGAGGAAATAAAGCAAAAACAGATGATGAAAAAAAATGAGGGCAGCAATTTACTGCTGTCAAAAACCAGAGGTTCAAACGTAGCCAGAATGGGCCAGACTTGGAAGCTCCACTGCCCTCGCTGTTCTTCCAAGTCTATACTGACATGATGCGGCAACAATTTCAGCAGCATTTCTCCACATGGTTTTAGCCCATACTGGTTTTGATTTAGAAAGTAGAATTATGTCAGAAATGAGAAGACAGCTTGCATTTCAAATGCACCAAACTCCTTGAGCACTCCCTCATCTTGGCAGGGATGCATAAACTGAAGTTTGTTAAGCGCGCACACACATTAGACCAAAAGAGAAAGTGAGGAAAACATTAGTGGCCTCCTCTGTATGAAAGAAACCAGAATAATGCCTCCCATTTCTTACTTACATACTGCATAATATGAGTTCACTAACAAATCTAGAAATGAATTGTTCTGTTGAGATCACGCAAAAAAAAATCAAATGTCCCAGTGGTAAAATGCAAACTGAAGTTGCACACAAGCCTGAATTTTTGAATGCCTACAGAGCGTTTTAAGAACAGAAAGTAACTGTATGGGAAAGGAGAGAAGTTAGAAAGACTGAATTAAAAAAACACCCCTTTATTTGCAGCAGTAAAACACTGTGTGTATGCTGCTGCCTTCCTGTTAGCTTGCTAAAATATTTTATTAATAAATAATCTGAAATTTCTAGCACTTAAAATGAAATGCATGTGCGCATGTGACCTCCAGTTCCAGAGGCAAAGCATTGTACATTAGATCAATGTACTACATAGCTCTCTATTGGCAAAACAAGTTGAAACGGGCATTTAGACTGCTACAGGAAATGGGAACACCAGTAAACTCCATGCCGGGAAACCAACACATTTGTGTTAGAACTCTTGACTGCCCCCTTCTATTCCCCAGCCCAAGGAAGTGCCTGCAAGAAGGTACAACTGTGAGCGAGCATTGCCTGACTAAACAGGAAAAAACCATGCTATTCATATGCAAAATTCAGACAAACAGCTTATGGAAGCTTTGACTATCTTGTCAAAGAATGGCCAAAATAATTCCATCAGCTTTGAAAAAATGCTATGGTGAAGTTGCCATTGGGAGACACTGTATTGTCAGTTACCAAGGGCAGCTATTTGTATCTGAAATTATAGATGGTTGGAGTACACCTCTGCATCCTTATCCTGGGGTGAGATCATTTAAACTGGAAAACAAGAGGAAAAATTTGCTGCTCTACGACAGAGAATACCTTAACATACATCACGTCATTGCTACTTCAGTGCGTTGCTATTAATTCTTCTAGAAGTAGCTTCAGTTTCCCTTTTGCACCGCCAATTTAATTTGCCAGGTTAAAACAATCCTCAAGTGACTCACTCAGAAGACTTCACTACAACCTGGACAAAGCACCAGTCATTAGCTGGTGGAAGAATAAGGATTGCTGAATTTCAGCTACTGTACTTAAAAGAAAAGTGGCTACAAATTAGCCCAAGCCACAGCCTATTTTGGTTAGCACTGCATGACTTCAAACAATCCTCAACAATACTTCAACAAAACAATGGGGCAGAGCAACAGATTAGTTCCTTTGACCTGGGATAACTGCAAACAAAAAACAGCTATTCTTTGCCAAGTGTATATATATCCAACTTCTGTACATTTTACATTTTTTAAAGCTGGGGAATTAATAATAATAATAATAAATAAATAAAAAGCAGGGACTGTTAACCTCTCTGTGTCAACCTAGTAGCACAAAGCAGGAAGCCCTTCAGTACCTCCATTCATCAGTCACTGCTCACTGTAAGTCACCACTGTCAGTGGTAGTGGACCAAAGGGTGTGGTTTCTTGATACAAAAGGAGACTGAAAACATTCTTTGTCAATAAACACTGATGTAGTTTTTTGTTTTGTTTGTTTTGTTTTCTTTTCTTTTTTTATTCCAAAACCTGTTAAGTATTGGACAATGGAAACTTTGAAAAAATGATTACACCGGAGAGCTGAAGTGCTAATAGGTAAAGTCTGTATTAATCACAAGCCTAAAGCACAACCTGTATGGTTCCACAGTATGTTTAAACACTGTTAGGGCTCTGGAGAAAGTCCTGGCAACTGGAAGGGAAAGAGATTTGGAACTGAAACGGGACAGGTAGGCAAGTTTCTCATGGATTAGGAATTTACACATTGACAGATTGAGATAGTCCAAAGTTCTTCTAGTGTGGCATTTCTGTCTTTCATAACTGTTAATTCAGGTGCTCTGAAAGAGAAAAGGTGCACAACGCCCTCCAGAAGGAAAAGTTTCATTTTGGTAGGATATACAAAAGCAGAACATCTGCACTGAAAAATTATTAAAAAAAATAAATAATAAAATAAAATAAAACAAAAAACAATTTAGGAAGTCTTGTCAAAAGATTTGGGAAAACATGATAACAGGCTTAAGGACATCTTTCAGACTGTTTTTTAGGAAGTCTGATGAAGTTTACCATGTCACAAATGTGTATTTTTTTATGGCTGTCTTTGTAATATAGATGCTTATCTGTTTCTAAGGAAAGTATTGCATCATTATTTAAAAACAAACAAAAAAAGAAAAAAACTAAAACTTTGGGTGTAAAAATTGGGAAAGTAGCAAGAAAAAAATCCTACCATCCAACTGTTCATGCTCTCATCAGCCTTTGAGTGCTTGTAATGCAAAGTTCCAACAGCAAACGTTGAACCACTGGACAAAATGAGAATGGCTATTGGCACCGCATGGAGGACTGGCTGGACTTGCACTGCACAACAGAGATGTCTTTAACTGGCAGAATGACAAGAAAGTTTTAATTATGTGTTGGCTTGTGACATATTTAGATTTTCAAGAATGTGAACTATCCTTCCTATTCCCATAGGAGAGTTAGGACTCTCCTTGAACTCTTAAGATATGGTTATACTCTGAAGAGAAACCATTTAAAATACACTCATGGATTCTGTCATGGCTCTTAGCAGTTCCATAAGAAGCAGGCAGAATTGTTCTTGATCCCAAAAACTGGTTTCAGAAGCTTAGTGATTGTTTCACACATTATCGACATTATTGGGAATCCTGCAGACCAAAGCCTACTGTCAGTCACATCTCAGCGATCTGACTCTTTATGATCCAGCTTGGAAAGAGGATGGAAACTCAAAGGCAAGTCAGGACCTGGGCATGACCCAACGCTGTGCCAGAGTAATGCAATGATGAACTAGATATTAGCAATTCCAATTAAAAGAATAGTTTCTACACATTCAGTATGAGGGAGAAACAACAGTAATGTGACATGATCCTAATTATAGAATACTAAATAATAGCAGAGTAAAAAGTTCAGAAACAGACAAAACTCGCATCAGTAAAAGTTTTCTACCACAGTATAAGAAAGAAATTAAAGGAAGAGGGAAATTACAAATGAAAAACTAGAAGAAACCACTTACACATGGAAAAATTATTCACTTTTGCTACTACTTCTATTGCATTTATTTAAGGTTCCATTCCTTGGCGACTTTCTAGAGCAACATGTCTGGAACATCACGAATCTTTCTGCATGGATCTACATGTAAGTGTTGCTTACACTTTTGTGCCCCGTCTCCCTTGCAGAACTTTTTGAAGGCTTCAGACTCAAACTAGCCCCATGCTCCACAGAGCACATTCTCCTGTGGTCTAAACCCCCTATTGGATACAATTTTACTGGCAATTTACACCTAACATAAAGGACATGCCCTAAGTGAAATTTATTCCAGATCAACAGACTAAGACACAGGCAAAGAGGATTTAACGGCAGATTGTGAAAGCAAGGATGAAAGCAAGTGAGGGTCTTAAAGAACTTATAGATAAATTTCAAGTTACTCATTTTAAGAATGTGGTGCTATTCCATAACAAATCCTAGACTTCAGCCAGCAAACACATTGAAGAGATGGCACAAAACAAAAATTCTGGACAGTAAAAGCATTAAAACAAAATGGAAGGTATTTGTTCCATGAGATTTTATAGTATTCAAACACAAAAATGATGTCAACAGCTCTCCATCAAGATCTGTTGTCTTCTAACAGTATTAAATGGCTTTCCAGATGTGAGATATAGGTGTCATATTTGCCTTCTCTGAGATATGGTCCCAAACACACTGCCATGTAATGCCATTGCATTTCTGTTAGATAGCTTAGAAAGAAGAGCAGGTCCCTCTGAGGCTGTTCACTCCCTCAGATTCCCAACAGATTTGGTTAACTCCTAAGGAGCCATGGTGGCTGCTGGGTTGTACAGCAAAAAGATGAATTTGGGCTCTTCAGCACTGCCTAGGAAGTCATGGCAGAACAAATACAACTCCTGCCTCCTCCATGAAGAAAGGTCAAAGTTTAGCTTCTTCTACTAAACTGCAGTATCTGCAGCTGAAGAGGCTGTGCCAAAACCCTGCCATTAAAGTACACACAAGCCAGTAAATAAACATGTTTATCTGTTAATGGTATTCGAATTTAAATGGTAATGGAAATGTTAATGGTATTTCATTTGAATGTATTCTCATGATTTCTCACTCAGTAAACGCCCAGACATTGAATAAAAGCAAAATAAGAACAATTTTGGTCCACGAGGAGAAAGAAAACAACATTAAAGTTAGACAACGGAAGTTATTCTAAGTTACACTGAAGTGTTTCTGAACATCAGAGACATCTGGGAAGCATATGTACAGGAAGCAGCTCAGCCTCAGAGAATTGTATGTTACTGAAATTAGAGAGGTAAGGAAACATCATATTAACCCTGAGTTCTGAACTTTTAGATCTTGCATACTTCTGCAATTAAATGGATATTTCAATGTAAAGATGCAATGTAACCTTAACAGGATAATCAAAGTTTTACATATTTAAAATAATGATTAATACTTATCAGATTTCTGAAAGACGTCTAGTTTTGAAGTTTCAGGTAATCAAAAACTGCAGAAGACTCTTACACTCCATACTCAGCAACTCCAAAAGATAAAAATGAGATGATTCCCTTTAAACTACCCTGATACTTGCTAATGATTTCAGTTGAACTACAGAAATGCAAATCAGCAAATCATTTAACTTCATAAGTAATTCTGTATATTAACAAACTGCTTTAAAACAGACATGGCACATTATCAATCTTATTGATTATTAACTAACCACCAAAAGATCAGCTTCCTATGGTTATTAGTCTTTTTAAAAAAATTGATTCATATACGTATTGCAATGAAGTCAGCTAAACTGGACATTCCCTTAAAGCTACGTAAGTAATCACATAAATGTTATTAATATAATAGTTACAAGAAATACAAACAATAAATAAGTATTGGAGACACTTAACGCAAACCTCAGCACGTTTCAATAAATCTTCTTTTATGAATGGAATACGGGAGTCGCAGATATCCTTGCTTTTAGGTGAATTTGACCTGACAAAACTTCCTCTGATGTGGAGTAAGAGAGAAACTGTGAAATTATCTGTACCAGGTATTTGGAGCTTATGTTAAGGAAGGAATTAAAATAAACTGAAATAATTGGATTTACCAACTAGTTTTCATAATATATACAGGAAATACAGATTGCCAGATAAAGCAATTTGCATTTTTTTTTGGAGCAAGATAGTACAGAGTCTCCACAAAATAAAGCCAGAAAAACGATTTCTAATATACTTCTAAAATGCATTGAAAGATAAAAAACAATAGATTCAATTTGGTAGTAAGGTGCTTTGATATTTTACAATTTATTTTTATTTTTTAAATTCTTGAGAATCCATCAAGGATCCTCATACTACTGTTTGTGATAAATCATATTTGTGAAACTATTCCTGATGCCGCAAAAATTGAAATACTTAAAATCCAGCCAAAATGAAAATCAGAATTGGTGTCTGTTAACACCTGTAAAATAGCATATGACAGCACTCGAGAATGGCACAGTTAGAGAACCAATGTCTTATTTCAGTTCAGAATTTCTCTGCAAGTTTTTACTGAATTAGTGAATCACCTTTAAAGCAAGTTTTACTACATAATAGCACATTCTCTAAGCTTCAGAGGAGATTAATCTTGATGCAGACACATTTTGGTCTTTCCTGTGTAAATGTAAGTCAAACCACTTTTTTTTCCATAGCATGAAATTATGAGATCTTTACAGAGAATAACATCTCCATTGACACAGGCAAGAACAATCATACTGAAACAAAGAAAAGGGAAATAATGACTATGTACTTCCATATAGCAAGCAACGTGGCATAGGCTGTACATGTAGGTTCTTACCTACTCCTGCTCGCCTTTAAATAAAGGTGCAGTTTAATTCCCAGCAGCAGAATATTCTCAATCTCAATAATAAATTCTAACTAGTTCTAGCTAAAGGGGTATAAATGTAAAGATGAAAAAAAGGACATTTAGACATGCTGCTTAGACATGTCTGGTAACAAAGAAAATAAAAACTGGAACAAATAAAACACCAAACTTTACTTAAGCAGCATATTTTATACATAAACCAAAAAAAAAAAAAAAAAGACGAGAAGAAGAGCAGATTTAAACATAACCACATTGCTTTGGTTATTTACATAATAAAAATGAAAATAAGGAGAGTTATATCCATAACAGACTGTTTTTACGGTGAAGATATTCATGTCACTATGTGGTTTATAGTTGTTCATATTTGTAGCAGTCAGAATAGGTAAGCAATCATTAACTTGTCAAATAACAGATAAAAGGCAGCACTGCAGTCCAAAGTAGGTCATCTTCCACCTTATTCAGCTGATTTTCAGACTGTTTCATCATCGCTCATGTCCCAGATCTGCAACAGAATAAAGCCTAATTTTAGTTTGTGGAGTTCAAATATGCTTTTAATATACCTTTATAAAATTAGTATTACTATTTAAAAGGACGAATAAATAACATTTATGGACTGTTGACTAGAATCAATGGAGCTTAACACTCAATTTGGTGCTCTTCTCTTCTGTTAACAACCTACATTGCACTCACTATTTTGGGGGTGTTTTTCAGCCTACTTCTCAGCATTTGTTCCTGAACTGTCAGATTGGCTATTTGCTATTTATTATCACTTACAGTAAGCAGTAGAGCAAAAACCAGACATTTAGTTTTGTTTTTCTGATTCATTAGCACATGCTTGATCTGGATAATAACTTAAAATAAATAGCATACTTTACTAGAAACTGCAGAAAATTTTGAAGACACTCATGAAGAACTAGTTGTTCTCCAATTTTTCCATTTTGCACCTAAATATTAGATCTCATAAATGGCAACATAAAGATGAAAAGCTAAGTAAAAATTTGTTCTTTTTATTTGTTTTAAAACATGTTTTATTGTTTAAAAAAATTGAAAATTTACACAGATTACTTCTGCAGTTCTGTATAACTGTACTTTTATTTTGCTACTTGTCCATGTTCAATGAGCATTTGTAGATTGGGGGAAAAAAGTATTTTCACAGAACACCAAGGAATCTGGCATCCTTATGAACATCCTGAAGCGAGGGTTACAAATTCATACCAGTTACCATGACCTTAAGAAAAATACAGGGACTTGAAAGCAAAACTAATGGAAAAAATCAAACATGACCATATTCTGAATACATTCTACAAACTTTCTTCTAGAAAAATGTGGGTGCTCTCAAAAGGTTTTTATGATTATTTTATTTTGAGGTTTAGTTCATGGCAAATACCCTCATTGCAGTTGGCAGGGCTTGTAGTAGCTTGGGATCAGGGCTAAGACAGGTACAGAGCTTTCAGCTGGATTTGGCTCTGACCTGCTTGGTTCTGATCATCTGAATAGAGCAAGCTCATCTCTGCCAGCAAAGAGCCACCAATATGTGGACATTTCTTCAGGATCATTCAAACTTTTCTAAAACCTTTCAGAGTTCAACACAACAAAATGGTATAACAGAAAACTTTACAGTCGAGAACATGGAGATAATGGTGGTACATCACATTTGGGTAAGATGTAAACTTTTTAATACCAATACATAAATTCTGTTTGTACCATTAGCTTGCTTTAAAATTGTGTATTCTACTTCCCAATAAAAAGTATCGAGATGTGCAAAGGTACCAAAATGTGTTCATGGCTGGTCCGCACACATCGGTGTTAGACAAATAATAACTACACACAACCACATTTCTGGACAGGTGACAAAGAATACTTACCTACAGTTTTAGTAAAACCCTGCATGATAAAATGTGATATTTCTGGAATTTGAAAATATCCTGAAAAAGGCTCTTCATATCCAACCCCAGGAAGCAATTACTCATATAAAATCAAAGCTTTCTATGCACTTCTACAAGCTGTGTAAAATGAAAACTCTGAATGGCAGGATTTTCTCAGTTCCTAGAAGCGTTGCAAAATGGTGGTGTAAATCCTTATGGAAAATACTGAAGGAACAGTTTGTTTACAAAAGGAAAAAAGAGTTTTCATCCTGCCCTAGATGAGCAGCTTGGAGCTTGCCAAGGCAAACACAAATGTCCAGCTCACCAGTCAGGGTCAAGGATGTGGAAAATAAATACGAAAAACAAAATCTTTAAATAGCGTTTATGGTATGATTCAAACTGGCAATCAGCAAGAAATCCAAAGTTCAGACTGATAGCCCATCTTTGTCTAGCCTACTCTCATTTTTGAGAACAAAGCCCATAGTTATTAACCCTCAAAAACCACTCCCCCATGAGAAAGAAACACAATAAATACTTTTAAAAATGCCATGAGGTGATTCAAAGGCAAAAGAGAAAGAAGCTGACTGAGATCCCTAAAAGTCTTCTTTATCTACTAAACAGATACACTGGGAGCAGAGCCAGCGTCTCTGCTCCGTGCTTTCCCATCATCAGTTCTGATCTGAGCAGTGTGGGTGAGAAGGCAAGTACACTCTGCTTGGTTTTTGCTTTGCCTTTTTCTTTTTTTAATTTAAAAATTTAATTTAAAAAAAAAAAAAAAAAAAAAAAAAGGCTGGTAAGGCTGCCAGTTACATTAGTAATTATGTGATATGGAAACAATTCCCTTCAGAAAGTGCCTAGCTGTTGCATTGTTCCTGTGAGGCTCACATAGCCTTCTGGCTTTACACCTGTGACGTGCAACGCCTGCGTTACGCCGACACCCCGTATGGCACAAAGAGCAGCTCCGATGACGCTGTAACTCTGCTTTGGGAGGAAAAGGGGAATAACAGAATAATGGAGTTTTCTGTTCGGCCTCAATAGCCAGGGACAGGCAACCCATAGAGGGCCTCAAGTAACTTGAAGACTTACAGCCCAAGCACAGCTCCGGCGCTCCAGCCCATTGCACAGCCGGCGGCAGTGCCTACAAGGCAGCCTGAGCTCCTGGCTGGGGGAGAAACACCACTCAGCCTCAGATTGCTTCAAAAACCTGGCACCTGGCTGCATGCTCGAGCCCAGGCCCTTCCTTCAAAGCAGCTCTGAAAACCTGAACGGTGCAGAATGGGCTGGGCGGCACATTCACAGGAGTCTCCTGCCTTTGTACCTTGCAGCTCTCTGCCGATGCAAGGCTCTGACACACAGCTGGTAGATCAGAAAGACCAGCCGTGCCTCTTTACTACTCATAGGTGTAGTATTAGCTCCAATTTAATCTAGCTTTACATGGCTAGAATGTAAAGTGCACCTGGGTATTTGAGTAACTCCGGCTACTCAGCGACGCTACAGAGCTAAGGCCCTGGAAACAGCATTGTTAACAGCAGCAGGAAAGGGAAAAGAACAACAAACCAATTGTTTCCTATCTAAAGCACACCTCTTTTCTAGGAGTCTCATAAAAATATTTGCAGAAAGGTTGAAACTGAGGTTCCAGGTATTTAAATGTGATGTTTAATGTCAATCTCATCCTGGATTGAGGAGAATTATTTTTAACATTTGAACAGCCTGCTCATATTTTACTTCCAGGAGACGGACTTCTCTCTACAGCAGTGACAAGGTGACTGAGCAAGAGGTGCAAGACAGTTTTATAAGACAGTTTACACTTCGTCTGCCTATCAGAGCTGGCACAACCCCGGCACTGCGTGATGAAGCTTCCTACAGGTCTCTGAAGAGTAAAGTACTGCCTTAATAAATCCTGTGCAGCGCGGAGGGAAGAACATGGAAAAGAAGGAGAAAATTCAACACAAAAGCTAAAAATTGCACGCTAACCTAAAGAAAACAAGCTATACTACACTGCACAGAAGAAGTTGTATTATATGTCAGTACTGATAACTAAATTCCAATACTTCATGGGCTCTCAGTTAATAGCAGGACATCTTTCCACTGAAAAGACATCTAAATGACATGCTCTATTACTACGCCAACTTTGGTTATTACTTTGAAACTGTGGAACTTTTACAGAGCAGAAATCAAGAAACACAAAAAGGCACGAAAGACAATATATAAAATGATCTAAATAATCTAAATGATCTAAAATGACTGTCACGCCAAGAACCTGACACCCCTGCTCGAGCTGTGAATGCGGATTTTGTTCTCACCTCTCCTCAGTCCTGCAGCACACCTGGCTCAGTCAACCTAAATGCAGCTACAGGTAATGACAGGAGAAGTCATAAAACAGGAAGATAATAAACTAGCTGTCAAAATCAACCTTTTTTCTTTTTTTTTTTTTTTAAAACACAAATCTGGCCAGATTACCTCAATGCACCTGTTTTTTTCAAGTACTTGCTTTTACCTTCAAACTGCCATGCAGAGGGTGTTAAATTTCAGGTGGAAATTACGGCTATTCAGGATAAGAGAATTCCTGCACTTGTTTTCTTGAAATGACAAGTATTATTTTCTTACATAATAGGAAAAAATGGGGAAAAAAAAGTGTATTAATGTAACTGTTCAGAAGTTCCCAGTGACTGATTTTAAGCAGTTTCTGATTGCATCTTCAATAATCCCACTGAAAGGAGTGGGATTTCTCTTCCTACACCAAGAACACCTGGTAGCATTCACATATGGAAACACAGCTCCACGTCTTAGAATTAACATGTGCAATTCAAATACAGAACTACTGTTCACCTTATAAACATGCCTGCAAGAATATCAGCATATCCCAAGGGGATTTTTTTAAGGTTTCTTGCCAGCATGGATCCAGCAGCAATTGCCACAGGACTGGCTGCCTCATTAAGAGAGGCGAAGCAAACAAACACCATGCCCCACGCGCTGCTTTCCACACGCACCTGAGAGAAATTTACATACACGTGTATCAAATGCACGCCACTCAGAAAACCACAGTATTTACTATGTTGTAGCTGCTCCAAAGACGGTGAAGAGTAAGGAAAAAGTAAAATTCTGCAGGCAGAGGTGAGGCTAAAAATCAGATGTTACCTGCATCGAACAGCACCGGTGGGTATCACTTGAGAACAGGCAGCTTTCCAGGCCAATTAAGCCTCTTCACATCTTACTTCCCAATTTAGAAATGTACCCTTACTCAGGAAAGCTAAACAAATGAATACATATATATATTCAAGCATTTTAAATTTAAAGAAATTTAATTATTTTACATCTATAGAAGTGAGCTTTTTGATAGATATTAGGTTAAACATGTTTTTATTCTACACTCAAGCAGAGAGACAGTATATCAGAGCTTCTGTCAGCCTCACCTACTTGACAAAGCATGTTTATTTGTGTATGTAAATAACGTACTTGACAAAGCATGTTTATTTGTGTATGTAAATATAACATACAATCAGATGAACTAGCTACAGCAGGCTGCATTAACTGTCCTTGTGTGGCTCATTCAATATTCTTCCTGGTCCAGTGACTGCATCTTTCAGGAATGGCAACAGAAATGAAATTGCAACTTGAAATTCATTAAGTGTATGCA